CTTCCCCTGGCAGCCCTGTTGGCCTGGAGACAACAGCTCTTCGAGGTTGCAGTGCAGCTGTGCTCTCGTCTTTCAACTTAATATCAAAAGCCTTTGCCATACGTTTGTCAGAACCACTGGTAATGGCTGTTCAGATGCCACCCAAATCCTGGAGTTCTCCACTCTGAGCTGCCTGTCACCATTCCTGTGCCACCAGCCCGCTCCTGTGCCCTCCATCTGTTCTCTACCTTCCTCCCTGCTACCCTTATGTCCCTTCCACAGGAATATGGGGACACTGTGTACACCATTGAGGTTCCCTTTCATGGCAAGACATTCATCCTCAAGGTGAGTGAAGGAAGCAGGTATCCTGGAGTGTCCTGCTCTGTCTGGGGCTGCAGGAAGAGGCCAAGGGGCTCTCTGGCAGGTCTCTTCCACCAAGAGGGAAGGGCTGGTGTGCCCTAGCACATCTGGCACCACCCAGCCCTCCTGCCCTGGTCCTGCCAGACCTTCCTGCCCTGCCCCGCGGAGCTGGTGTACCAGGAGGTGATCCTACAGCCTGAAAGGATGGTGCTATGGAACAAGACAGTGACTGCCTGCCAGGTGAGCCAAGCCTGGGGGCACATTCAGGCCACAGAGGACCTGGGTGGTATCACTGAACCACTCTGTGCCTTAGTTTCCCCATCTATAAAATGGGATGATGGCCATAGCCCCTTGTGGAGAGGCCAGGAAGATGGCAAGGAGGAATGTTCACAGGGTACCTGGCCCAGGGCCTGGGAGTGGCAACAGTCCTTACTTATTTTTTTTGTTGCAGTTTGATCGGGGCTGGGTGTGAACCCGCCACCCTTGGAATATGGGGCTAGCGCCCTACTCACTGAGCCACAGGCGCCACCCAACAGTCCTTAGTATAGGGGCCTGAGCAAAGAGGAGGCTGGTTTGGGGGATTCCTAGGGTGAGCTGTACCTCATGTTTCCTCTGATGGCCCTCAGATCCTACAGCGAGTAGAAGACAACACTCTCATCTCCTATGATGTGTCTGCAGGGGCTGCGGGTGGCGTGGTCTCCCCAAGGTGAGCACCCACCAAACACCCTCCTCACAGGCCTTCTGCACTTAGATCTTGGGCTCCGTGCCCTCTATCTAACCCTCCTTCCCTCAGGGACTTTGTGAATGTCCGGCGCATTGAGCGGCGCAGGGACCGATATCTGTCATCAGGCATTGCCACCATGCACAGTGACAAGCCGGCCACGCACAAATATGTCAGGTGAGCCTGACCTTACTTGGGGTCATCTTGGCCTGCCCCTCCCAGGAGCACTTAGCAGTGCAGGGTACACTATGTACAGCTTCTCCTGCTGAGGCTGCATTCCTGTTCCCTGTCCCACTGGGCTCTGCCCCTCCCAGCCCCTAATCCTGCTAATCTTGCCGCTCTGTCTGTGTGAGCAGGGAAGATAGACAGCTGGATCCCAGCCACCAAGACTGGAGGGGATGTGTGTAGCTGGCTCGGGGTAGACTGTGGGTGGGGACCAGTCCAGGGAAGGAGTTTGGGAGCCATGAGGTCAGCTGGGCTGGTCAATCTAAGCAGGAGGCCCCGAGTTCTGGGTTTCACTCAGGTCTCCTTTCCTTCTCCTCACCCTGTCCCTGATGGTTTGCCTTCCTCAAAGTCCCCTCAAAGGGAAAGGAGTCATAGTCCCTGGGCTTCCTCCAAGTGCTGTGGGTGGCCCTCTCGCATAGACCCCACTCCTTGCCTCCCTAGTCTCCTCCTGGGGCTCCAGCAGAGAGCATTGGTCTTTGAATATGAGACCAGGCTCTGGTTTTGGCACAACTACATACTCACTGGGTGAGGGGCCAAGCTCATTTCCTCCTTGGGTGCCAACTTCCTTATCTGTGGAGTGGGCTTAAGCATGCTCAAGGGAGCTGTGGGAAAGTGAAATGTGAGATGTGAACCATACAGCCCAGGCCCTGACCACCTCCTGAAAAGGGGCCCCAAGTGAGAAGCACCAGCCCAGCCCCTTCCGTCACAGCCAGAGCTGACTTTGGAATTTCTAGACTGAGTAGATGAGGGCTGGGAGGGTGGTGAGCTCCCTGTCACTGGAGGTGTGCAATCACTGGCATACTGTTACAGGAGGATTCCAGCATAGGAGAGTGGGTGAGGGTGGAGGGCTGATGCTAGAGCCTTTGGGTCATCTTTTGCTAAGCCGTATTCAGACAGAGTAGTAGTTTCTAGATCAGCATTTGCTTTCTCCCACTCTAGTCCAGACTGGGCCAAGAATGGGGTGTGTGAGTATCAGGGGCCTTGCTCAGCTCCAAAGTCCCCCCAATGGTTCCTCTCTCCTTAGGGGAGAGAATGGCCCTGGGGGCTTCATTGTGCTCAAGTCGGCCAGTAACCCTCGAGTCTGCACCTTCATCTGGATTCTCAACACAGATCTCAAGGTGGGGTCCTGGGTGCTGCTTGGTGGGCTACATGGCATGGAGGGTACTCTGCTGCTGAACGTGGTAGCTGTGTGACCTTGGGGATTCTCTCTGCTGCTCAGGGCCCCCTCTGTCTTCAGCCTCCTTTCTTCCTTTCTTTTTTTTTTTTGAGACAGAGTCTCATTATGTTACCCTCAGTAAAATGCTGTGGTATCACAGCTCACAGCAACCTCAAACTCTTGGGCTTACGCGATTCTCTTGCCTCAGCCTCCCA